AAGGTCAAATTCAGAATCTAATGCCGCTTTACCCATTAGGGAAGGTTCTAGAAGTGTCCTTTTCAAAGATGTACACCTTTTTGAGTACCTCAAACGCTAATTTCAATCCTGCCTTCCTTATCCGCGGAACGCCTATGGAAAAGGAGTTATAGGAGCGTTTGTAGCGGAAATTCGAACGCATAGTCAAAAGAACATCATTTGTAACCAGAGTAGAGCGTGGGGTGTGGCACGCCACACCTGGGGGTCGTGCAGAGGGGTCAGAGGAGGGGGAGGGGGTCGTAATCAAGGTGAAGGGAAAAGTACCCAACGAAAAAAGTATGAACGACATGCCGAAAAATAACATGCGAGACGCCTCTTAAAACACTGACTTGTGAACGTGTACTCATCCCAAAAAAGGCCCTAACAAGCAAAATGAGTATCGCTTCCGTTATTAGCATGCCATCTGAGGTCCCAAATATCGGGCCACACAAAAAATGGTCATTTTCAAACATCATTAACTATGTCTTAAAGACGAGTTAGCTGCTTCTTTTTGTGCTCAATACAATACCCCGCTCCGTATGTGTTCACATTAAAAACCCCATTTCGAACTCGCCACACTATTAGATTTAGAAGCCAACCATAACCTATTTTTCACTTTCAGTAATTCTATTTCAGCAACTTTTACGCAGATTAAAGAAGAAGAATCACGCTCAAAACATCCCTCTGAATATTACGAGGTCTAGGCTACCAAACCATGTAAATGTAGTTAAAAGTTAAAATGAACAAAAAAATGTAGAAATGTAGATAAAAGTTAAAATGAACATAAGTTAGTGGGGTTTGGCACAACCCCTCAGAAGCAGTGGCTGCTACACCTTTTTAGGGGTTGTGCCACACCTCACTAACTCATTTTGAAAGACCTCGAACATGAATGACTTCTATATCATTGAAAACGCTAATCCTTCTTCTCTCCTCATGGAGAATTTCATCGAAAACCTTTCCGCCTGTTGAAAGAAGATATAGTGGTTTCTCGTTACACACCATCATCTTGGAAACCAGCAGATCACCCC